TAATCACAGGAAACGCCTCTCCAGCTGATGCTAGTGGGAACAGTGTTAGGCAGCTGGTGTTTAATCCCATCAATGTGCATGGCTGAGATTGTAAAAAGAGAGAATCTGGAAAGGGTTAATACTCTACTGAATGCATGGCTTGCAATTCCATTATTTAGTTTTTAGTTGTGGTTTTTTTTTTTTTTTTTCCTTTGGTTTAGTGGTTTATGTAATGAAGATGCTGAAATTGTCTCTCATATGAAGGATGGCACACAGAGGCACTGTTATGCCTTCTCATTATGCTGGAGCAGTTGTTTGAATTATGTTATTCACTGACATGAATACATTGTATCAGGTAGCCACTATTCCTTCCTGAGTACATTTTTTTTTTTTTTTAATCTTGTCATCTCCCTTTCAAAGACTGACCCAGTCTTGACTGGAGATCAGCAATATTTGACCCAGGCAACTTGAGAGAATGCCAATTTGATGTCTGAATCTTTTGCAGAAAATGTCTGAAAGTGTGCAATTGTTACTACATCATATAGCACTGCTTATAAAGCTGCAAAAGATGAAGTTGGGAAATACTAATATTGTAGTATCTTGCTTTGGTCTGCTGCTTCTGATTAATGTCCCAGACATTATTAAACCAGTATTATTCCTGTCTGTCAACTTTGATGCTATGTGCTGCATCTGTACTGTTGCATCAAACATGCTTGGATAAGAAGTTTAAATGAATCTAATAAAAATGTCCCTATTGTTGTAAAATAGCTTTTTGCTAGCCGTACATAGCAAGTAGAATGTGGAGGTTTTTAAATATTGAGACTTATTTGTAAATAAAATATCAAGTTTAACTTTGTGTTAATGAAGCTGCTGAGGTTAATTGTAGCGGTTATGTGTTCGTGTCCCTAAAATGATTCAGGCAGGATTTTTTTATTTTTATTCTTCTTGCATAGTAGTGTAAAGAAGTAAAATATTCTCTGTGACATAATTAAATGTTTTGAATGTGTCCTCACAGTCCTGCTGCTTTTATGTTTGATGTAGGTAATCGTGTGCTAACATTTATTTTAAAGTGTTTAAAATATATTTTAAACTGCAAAGACTTACTGCACTATCCCTTTTCTGTTGTTTTTGTATCACCTTAGGGCTGAGATATCTTTTGCCTTTTTGGCTTTTCATTTGAAATGTTCCCTTCCCGCTTTAACAAGTGAAAGTGAAAATGCCAATTGATCAAAATACTGTGTTCAATAGCAACCCGCTATTATTTTCCAATGTCTGAAGCCTCTTTTTCTTTACAACTTACTTTGATTAGATTAGTAATTGGTAATATCTTCTTCAGCTTTTATAAATAAGAATTCCATGTGAACAGCAAGAAACTTATTAATAGTTTAAAGAATTCTAGGCAATACAGGTAAAACCTGGTAACATGGCTTAATATTCCTTAAATAGTCTGAACAAAATTATTTGCTGTAAGCTTTTAAGGGGCCTATAACAAGTCAAATACTAGAGGCTACAGAAGCTGGTATTTTAGGGTAGCATAGCTATAGTTTTTACCTATGATTCTGTTAATGCTATGTTATTTTACCATTTGTAAGTAAAGTAAGATTCGTGTTCAACTTGAAAATTGGGGTACCAGATTTGAGCAGTCCCCTTGTCATAGCCTTCATGGCAGCTGGCTTTTGTTGTTAGAATATAGAAATTAACTAAATTTTAAAAGGTCATCTCTGACCATAATGCCTGTAACATTTCAGCAGAGAAGAAAAAGAGGAAGTTCTGTTATTTGCTTATAGAAAAAAAAATATAGTAAGGCTGGAAGTAGCAGGAAAACTTCAGTACTTAATGAAAATATGAGGTTGAAAACTTCTCTAGTAATGTTCATTACCTTTGTAATACTGCTAGTATTTAAAAAAGTTTTAGTTTAAGGAATAAAAACCAGCTGGCATTGTGATCTGTGCTTACTGTTAGGTTTACTTTCAAACAATAAAGGTTGAATGGTTTCATACCTGAATTTTGAGTATTATCTGGGTTTATATTTTTCTTGCTTTCATAAAAAGTTTCAATGTTAAAATCACACTTGCTTTTAAAAGAAGTAAAATAGGCTTTAAAAGTTACTGCCGCTCATGGTCACAAACCTTTAGGAAGGCAGATATTGCTCTTTCTGCTTTGCAAACAGAAGCTTGGTGGAAAGTTAAGAGTCTTTTTTTAAAGAGGCAGGATGTCTGAGATAGTTCTAGGAATCATGAAACTTCCTTTTCATAAAAATCATTAGCAGAATGGGCCCAAATAGTCCTTAATTGATTGAAGGAAATGAGGGGGAAAATATTTTTACCATGTAAGGTTCTACCGATCTTAAGTTTAAATTCCCATTCCGCTTGTCCCTCTACAAACATGAACAAGGTGGTACTTATTCTTACACCTTGAGGGGGAATGGGCAGAAGAATGACAAAGTTCATCTTGCATCTCTGTATGTGGGCACTGGTAAATAGGATTTAATCACTGATGTGTTTTAGATCCTGGTTCCAAAACCTGCAGATCTTAGGAGGATCAGTTTGTAGGACCAATGTTTCAGATCAAGCTGCCAGCAAACATCTGTCAAATGGGGATGAATTAGTTACCCTTTCGATGGCTGTGGAAAGACAAGTAGTAGCTGATGCTCTCTAAAGGCAGTGAGAGGCAGGTGAGTATCTCCATCATCAAGCTTTATGTGAAAGCAGGTAACTTTTTTTTTTTCAAATAAATGTAAGTTTATGCTCCATCTCATAGGGCCATGGAATTTTTGACACAGTGTTTAGAGCTGGCTTTAGTATGTTACAATATAGTAGTGTAAGTTTGTAAACTTTACCTGGTTTGTCATGTTCACAGTAAAGTAATTCCGCCTGTCCTCTGCTTTCTAATTGCTGGCTATTTTTGTTTTCTTGTGGTGCCCTGGTGAGAATGGGTGTCATGAACCAGAAATGAAGGACATGTGTGATGTTTGCCTGTAAATGAGCTGCAGCAGGTGCTCTTCCAAACTAGTGCCCTTGGGGGCCCCCCACGTAGGCACTTGTGGAGCAGCATTTATTAGTGCAAGCTCAACCATAGAGCCTTGGGGCTGGATTTGGCTCCTTGGCCAAGCCTGTGGTCAGGGAGATGTGCCGTTACTTGTCCTCTGGGGTTCTGTGTTTGTTATTTCAGAAAGTATTAATAACTTGATGATTAAAGGAGGAGGAGATTTCCTAGCAAGTGGGCCTGATGGAGATGCTTTAAAGTCTCCTAAGAACATGTATGAAAAGTGAACTTTTTAAAAGTGTGTTTGAACTTCCATAAATTACTTTGCATGTTACTTCAGAAAGGACAATAAAGTTACTTTCTTTATTACAACATTATTGTAATATTATTATATGTTATTGTAAAGGACTGTAGTTCTATAAAAAAAAAGTATTTGAGTGTAGGTATAAAATAAATAGGCAAAATGGTGTGATCTTTAATAGCTAATGGCATTGTTATCATTGCAGTATAAGACTGATTTGCCTTTTTTTCTTGGGTTCAAATAAAAAAGGTTGTGTTAGAGACCCTCAAATTGTGGACTTGTTACTTTCCTTCTGCAGTGGTGGCTATAATGTTCACAGACTGTTTTCACTAGGAGCTACACTGTTGTGAATTTCATGTCATATATTGAAGGTCTCCAAAGCTGCAGTGTTGCTTGGGTCTGTCTGAATTTGAACATTCTCTTTAGCCCCTTCACAGTTAACAGTTTTATATTCCCACATTTTGTAACTTCATCGTTGTAACATTTGTCTCCAAAATACCAGCTGTTGTGATGGCTTTTCTCAAAAAGCATCTTAATGCGAGGTGGGAAAACAAGCCGACCTGACAAGTCAGTGACATTTCTGTGTCTGTGACTGGAACGTCGCATCTGGATTTGCTTTCGCGCTCTGTTGCAAATTTGATAGCTAAAATACAAATGCAGTCATTAAAGGAAGAAAAATGTTAAGGATAATTGGATTAAAGCAGGGAGATATGTACGGTATATAAGTATGGGGGGAAAGAAGTCATTTTATTAACGATGGTTTAATTTATTTAAATTCTGGATGGCGAGGGGTCTTCAGGCATGCAAAGAATGATGCAGATTGTTAGGTTTGTAATGATATCATTAATTGTTTCAAAAATAATCAAAATCTGTATCTATCTGCTACCATCAGAAACTGTAGCTGTGCATTATAGAGTTCATTGAACAATTCAGCTGTGGGCACCTTCAGAAATTAAACAACACTGGGAGTAGTTTCAGTAAAAGGCTTGGAACGAGTACAAGTTCAGATGGAGAACAGCTGTGTTTTGCTGTAGAGATATGAGCCTGTTTCAGGGAGGAAATACAACCATGCAGAAATAGGCTGTAGTCCTGGAGGGAGCCCCGCGCTGAGGAAATGTGTGTGTGCACTCCCAGTTGTGAGATGCAAACATCCTAAGGCAAACTTTTTTTTGAGTTTTCCAGTAGCCCTTTTATTCCCTTTCTCTCTTTATAATAGTTCAGTGTTGTGCATATTAAAGGGTCTTTTTTTCCATCGTAATTTTCTTTACCTGTTTTGCTGGTTCAAACAGCTTTGCAGCTGTCAGGAAGAATGCCCCTGCATCAGTAGTGCTGGAGGCTGTTAATGACCTGAAAGCTCCCAGTGTGGGCTGGTTCAGAGAAGATCTTCCCATAGGTTGTAATCAGTTACTGCTTTTGGGAGGTAAAGTTCAGTTACATAGATTTCACTGTAATACTCTTGTGTTAGTGGTGCTAAAGTGATAATTGCCACTTTGCCTCATAGCTGGTAACTTTTCTTTAGGGAAGAGAGAGGACTGGCCTCTGCATGTTGAAGTGTCTTGCCTATGCTCTGTGCCTTTCACCTCCCTTCTACTGAGTCTTGATTATCAGCATGTTGAGAGACATTTTTTTAGACTTAATTGAAGTGCCTGCTTGCTCAAAAAGGTCTTTTGAGTTAGTGATGCGAGTTTGTATTTAGAGTATTAACAAAGCTGTGTTATTTGTTTTGTTCTCATCTAGGTTCTTGAACTGGGATTTGATTCCTCATCCTATGGATCACTGAATGAGTAACAGATGGCCTTGCCTCGTCTTACAGGTGCTTTGCGCTCCTTTTCAAATGTCACTAAACATGAGGATTACAGTGAAGAATTAGCTGACTTAATGGTAAATTTTCTTTTTTATTTTCCAAAGCATAAGGGTTTATCTATTAAGAATTGTTTCCTTTCTTCAATTGCATTATTATAAGAGCATACAAGCAAGACTGAGCAGAGTATGTACATTTTTCTGTGGATTCCTTCATACTGTCCTCACTCAAGGTCAAATTTGCTATAGCTTTGTGATTTACGCTGGACCTTACAGTCACGAGGTGCTACATGGGTAGAGTTGCTTGGCTGTGCTAGTACAGTTCTCTCATTTCATCTTTCAGGAATTTAATTTGGGCTAGGCTGGTGTGTTTTTAGCTATGAGGCTTATGCAGAGCTCAGGATCAGAGTATTTCCCTTTGAATGTTAAGTTCACCTCTGACTTCTTGGGGGATATTTAGAATAAATTTAGTGATGCTGAATTTTGGATGTCTTTTTTTTTTTCCCCCAAGAAGTAGTTAAAGCAATAGATACATTGTGGGAACCTGTAGCGTGAAATGAGTTTGGAATCTAGGGAGCTGTAAGTCTCGTGAAGCTGCAAGAATTTGACTTTACAGAGAATTTTGCCTTGGAAAGAGTAAAGTACTGAGAGAGCGTGTGTGCGTGTGTGTGTGTTTATCCTCCTCTTTCCTTACATTGGGGAGTGTAAAGAGCAGGTAACAGAGAAACTGCTTGCAATCTTTACTTCGTAGTGACTGAATGCAATTGGAAAGAGGTGCTTTTTATCTGGTGTTTAATTTTGAAGGAACCTGCATATAGTAATTTGAAATAAATTAAAAAAAAAAAAACAACAAACAAACCCAAACAAAATATTTTGCATTTTCAGACTAAAAGATCAAAACTACATGAACAGTTGCTGAAGTCTGATCTTACTTGGAAGAAGATAATAAAGTTTGTTGATGACAATTTGGACAAAAAAGAACACCAAACTGTAAATGGTGATTTAAAAACCATATTACAAGCTGCAAAACAAATAGGTATGTTTTCATTCTTTAATAGTCTAACTATATACACTGATTTTTTTTTTTCCTTCAAGCTTCTTTCTGCCTGCATGCTTTACATATTGGTACAGTTTTAGCTCTGCCTTGATGCCAGGCTTGCCCTGAAATATCTTTGAAACTCCAGGTAATCTCATATGTATATGCACAATTTGGTCTTCTGTTTTATTTTAAAATATGAGTCGGTTGTTATGTGGCTATTCTTGCTTTTGTGTAGCTTTGTTGTGTAGTCTGTGGTATGGTTTGCGATCCACCTTTAGTAATCAAAAGTAATAGCTCCTTTTGGAATTGCAGTGCTCAGAGGAAACTGTCTTGGTGCTATCTGCTTTAATTGGTATGATGAAGAATTGGATGGCAACATAGGCAGATAACAGTGCAATAAATGTTTTCTGCTTGAAGAGTTTGATGTTGAGGAGAGAAATAATAAACTTCACTTATCTGGAATTAAGCTTTTAAAACTGAAATACATTATGGCAAAGAAAGTGGGAAACTTAGGCTTGATTAGAAATTTAGTATTTGATTGACAGACTAAAACTGATTCAGCTTGTGCTGTTAGCAGAATTTAACTTCATCGGCTCATAAAATGAGCTCATGGCTCAAGCTCTAGCAGTCAGATAGTTAAGAATTTTTTCATTTCAGTCTAGTGGGTATATGTTTTCCTTTTCTGATTGTGTTTCAAATATCTTGAATGGAACCCTAAATAAAAAGACTGAGAGAATTTATATATATATAGACATATTTGCCTTTTTTGGCATTATAGACCAAAGTTTTTTTATCACAATGCAAATGTTAACCTGCCTCACTTGTGTTTCTGTTTCTCGAGAGTTCTTTTGGAAATAACCAGAAAATTGAGGAAGAAACAAATATCTAAACACAGACTTTTAAAAAAGCCTAAATAAGTTATTTGTGTCCAGCATGTAGTAATAGCTGTGCTGTACAGTTGCTCAGGAGGTATCTGTTAAAGCTGTTAATGATTGTAATGGCTGTTGCTTTACTGAGTCATCAGAAGAAAAATTTCAGAGTTTTCTCATATCCCTGACAAAAATGTTCTAAACTCATCTGACAATACGTATGTTCTAAACTTTGCTTCGTTTCATTCCTTCTACTGTAGTGACATAACTCAGTTATTTTTACAAATTTGGTCATAATTTTTTTTAATCCTATTTTTTCTAATACAAGTAGTAGAGCTTGCCCTGTTAGTAGACTTTAACCTTTTCAGGCCAGACCTTTAAGCATGTGGCTGTGTGTCTTTCTGAGACAGGCCACTAGGAAAGGCCATCTCTCTGTTCCATATTGGGTACCTCTGCTTAAGTACACAGATCTTAGCTGGCACTTGTGATACACAAGGTTTGGGGGAAAGTCATGTAAGATGGGGTGTGAGTTTGCATCAGCTGTCAGTACCTAAAGTTCATATGGAAAAGGTTCAGTCTGTATTGATATTTAATCTGTATTGATTGAGAAGATCTACATAGTTGTTTTAAATATCCACTAGGTATAGTTTAATTGTAAGAGATAATGGAGCAAAATGTTGGCTAAGTTAGGGCTGACAAACGTATAATGACTATACAGTTTGCAACATAAGAAGTAAGACCATGTGTAGTTTAGCAAGTAGGGAAAAAATGTCTGAGGATGGAAAAAAGGTTATAAGCAAGATAAGTATTTGCCATTATTAACTGCAAATGTTATCTGTGAAAATAATTTTTCAGATTTGCATTTTTCTGTATTAATGACAGAAATTAGTATTAGCTGTGTGATTTTTTTTTTTTTTTAAATTTTTACTTTTTGCTGAAGGTAGCTCCTTTCTTCCTTTCTTTTTTATTTTCCCAAAACTTTAACAGCAGACCCAGTGTTGTGGGTAGGTAGAGCAAACTGAAAGGACTCGAAAGTAATAGTGGTAAATTTCTGTTTTATGGAGTGGAGAGGACAGAAACTAAATGAAAACAAATGCATGATTATTTAGTTAGAAAGGAATCGTCAGCTTTGACACTTCTGAATAAAGCTGGAGACACACCTTGTGTCTGGAGAAACGGTGACTGAAGCATGGATAGAAATGATTCTATTGCTCCAACCATCATCATCATCAATGTATATTAGGGGAAGGAAATTACTTGTATGCCTTTTTACTTTTATTTCAAGGAAATGAAATCTCAGCGCAGGCAACAGGTACTGTAATATTGGTTTACAGAGAAAATATCACTTACTGAAATTATCTGATCGACTTAAAACCAAAAAGGCGAGAGTATCTTCAAGTAGTGCATCTCTTGCCATCTTGGCTGGCTCATTCTATACAGGAGGGAAGGCACAGTGTTTTCTCAAGAGGTGCTTCCCCAAATAGAAGACATTAATGGTAAAGGAGAACTAGCACATCATAAACTTTTAAAGAGCCTTTTCTCAACTCCTTCAGTACAATTGCTCTTTTACTTTAGTAATGTATACTTCTGTTCTGACACATGGGATTTTAAGTAATGATGTGTATTTGTATGCTAGGAATGTAAGAGTGAGGTTCATGAAGCCAGACTTAGGTCTGTAATTTTTCAGATGTTTGAGGGTTTTTCTCCTGTGATTCCTGTATGGCTAATGCTGAGAGAGAGGCTGAAACACATTTTTCCCTTGAAATATATTTACATATATATATATGTGTATCTTTGTCACATACCTTCCATATGTAGGTTTCTAATTATCCTGTAAATGTCGCCTCTGATCCTTTCCATGAACTTTTCAGCTTTTAAAAGTGCACTATAGGGAAATTCAAGAGGACTACTGAATTTTTAGGTGCCTCCTGTGCTTCTGTGTTTCTAGTTACTCAGCCTTGTTCTGTGGGCTTATGTTGGATTTCTTTTGCTCTCTCCTGTTAAGTTGTGGGGGGAAAAAAAAATCCTTGCTTTTGCTACAGTTATACCTAACATAAGTTGAATCAAGTCACAGGTAACAATGTCAATGTGATTAAGGATCTTCACACTGATTTCAATAAGTTTTTTAACAGGCAGAAAATGGGAACATAGTAGAGCAAATACATAAGCCCATAACTGAATAGTAAAGGTATACAGAGGTAGGCACAAGACAATTTCAATTACTGAAGAGAGAATTGCCACATTTACTGTGCCTGAGGTGAGATTTGTGAAGCTTAAAAACTTAATAGTATTGTTCCTTTTAAAATAAATAATTAATTTTAATTTTGGATTAGCTATATTGTGAGTGTTATCAATTAAATCATACTATTCTCTGCTGGAGTTCTGCTGGTTGATCTTGACAGAAAAAAAGAACTGACCAGATAAACATATCTTGACAATGGCAGCTCCAGAGTAAGCTCTTAAGATGTTTATAAAATGATACAATCTTGTAAGAAATGCTAATTCTACTAAAAATGTTAGAGTAACCTCCGAAACCATTTAGAACATGATTTTTAAGCTTCAAAACAAATTCTGCATGTTGTCTTCATATAAAAAAGAAATCCAAACCAAACCAACAAACAAACACACACACACAAAAGAACCACCACCACCACAAAAAAAAAAACAAAACAAAAAAAACCAAAACACCACACATACATGCACACACACACAAAGCCAGTATGGTTTTGTCTAGTTAATGCTTGAAGACCTTAAATATCACTACTGAAGAAAATTTTTTAGTTCATCATAGGGTGTGTTTTCTTATGTTTTCCTTAAGTACCTTTGTGAATATTTGTATAAGACACATTCATGTTTTTATCTAATAATATATATTTTGTTTGCACAATAAGACATTTTGTCAATATATTCTAAATTCATGCATTTATTTGCTTTCGTTTCTTTGGGCAATTTTTTGAACTGACACACGTTTTGTAGTAATTCTACTGAGTTCTGTATGTTTAGTCTGTTATGAATATTCAGATCAGCCAGTGAATAAACAGTGAGACAAAGTGGAAAATTGTTAACATTAAAAAGCTCATAAATATACTACCGTGAGTTTAAGACCTCAGGCAAGTTTTTCCTGTAACTCGGAAAAATAAGAAAGCATTGGTAATCCTTAATATGAATTTCTAGTAAGTAGAAGAATAATGAAACAGATGCTTTCTTATTATATACCTTTTATAATTCAGTACCTTGCAAAAATTGCTACTTGTTGTTATGGTCTTTGTTTCATATATCTGTTGATGAGACTTGCAGTAAGAAATTGAATACAGTTATGTTACAGGCAATGAAAGAGGATTAGTTTGAAGAGTATAAAGTTACATTTGGTTTTGGTTTTGTTAACAGTTGGAGCTGAAAATGGACAGGAAGCAATTGAAAGTGGAGCTGCTTTTCTCTTTAAGACATTTCACAGAAAAGAATGTGTTGGCCATGATGAGACAAAGGCGATCAAGCAGATGTTTGGGCCATTTCCATCATCATCTGCTACTGCAGCTTGTAATGCCACATGTCGAATCGCTTCTCACTTCACTGAAGAACAGCTCACAGCTCTTGTACAGATGGCTGAAGAGCAGAATGGTGATAACACAGTCTTCTTTGGTAAAAATATAGTGTTTTCATTTGACATGCATGATTTGGATCACTCTGAGGAGCTGCCTGTGAATGGTGAGGCCGATGCACAGAAAATTATAAGCTTAGATTACAACAAATTTCTGAATAACCAGCTGAATCACTTACAGAATTACTGTGATGAGAAATCTGATCTCAAGTCTCTGGGAAAAGTAGATGATTCTTTTTTGTGGTACGAAGTTGGAAAGTATCTGAATGAATCTCAAGGGGGCACGCCTGGAGGGCCGACAACAGAAGACCTCTGCTGTACTCTGTATGAGATGCTTGCTTCTACCAAAAGTGATGATGAGCTTCAAAATGAGGTACGGTAGCGGATTAACCACACTGCACGTATTTGGTTGTTGCAGAAGTATACAATTACTTGATTTTGGATTATGCCAATACACTTTATCCAAGTGCCATCCAAGATTTTTCTCCTTTTTTTGTTGGTTTGTCTTGAGAAAAATTGCATGGCATCATCTTAATTTACCAGTTAAGTCTCCTTTTCCCCCTAACAGACAGGCTATTAGTTTGGGGAATGTAAGCGGGGGAGCATTTGTTCAGCTTCTCCATACTTTCTTTTTAAACAGCATCAAATTTAAGCCATCATATAAAAGTGTGAGAACTTGCAAAGCCACAATGAAGTTAACTTTTTTGACCAGGTTCCATCTCCAGTTTCAGAGCCTTCCTGTTTCTGGATGGGAAGTTGGAGAACTGGAGAATTTGCTGCTACTCTAAAATTTTGTCATATCACTTTTATTTCTTTTGATAACAAAAGGGTGTGGGTTTATTGCAGCAAGGGCAGAGAAGCTTGAGGGAGAGAAAACATTTGCTGGGAGGGTGGAGTTGAAGGGTAAACATAGTGGTAGGAAGGGGAAGGACCATGTGAAGAAAGGCTGGTGCAGAGGCTGTCAAGGCATGTGTAGAAGAGATGACTTGATAAGCAAGAAAACTGTTCTTAAATGGAGTTGGGAGAAAAATCCTGTAATGTGCTTAATTGCTTCTTCCTGTTCTCTTTTCTGTTATGTTTATTTTTCCTAACTTGTCTTGCTTTACTCCCCTAAAAACATCCAGTACTTAAATTCACAAACTGACTTTTCAGAAATACAACTGATGGTGCGAATAGACAATCCTGTGAAAGACAGTATAATGAAAATTTGCTGGAACTTTGCCATTACAGTTGAAGATTTTATTCTTCTTATCAAAAACATTGTGATAGAGAAGGACCTGAATATTTAATTTTAAATAACTATGACTATGTGTTGATATATTTTGCATAATTGCATAGATGCTGAACCCATATTCTAGTTTTGTTTGGTAATCACACCACATTTCAGCTGTCCCTCGAGCTGCTTTCTCTATACGAATATTGTCTTATAAGTATCTTTGAAAATGAACATTTTTATGCACACTACAAACAGTTTCATATTTGTGGTGGTTGTATTGAGGGAAGACGCATGAAAATATGAGTCTGAACAGGTCTTGGAGAAGAATGGATAAAGAAACTTGCATGTCAAATGAAATGCAAAAAAGAGTTCTTTGATTTACTATAGGGACCTGATGTTTATTAAGTGCACAGAGATAAAGATTAATTTATATTTTTTTTTAAAAGCAGCAGAAGACTTCATGTACAGTAACAGGATATCCAGAAATAAATCTGTACTTCTGGATAATGCCTACTTAATGCCTAAGTTTAAGTTGTAAAATGTTGAAGGAAGTGCTTGAAACCTTTCACTTTAAGCAAGAAGAAATTATTTTGTTTTTATTTTGCAACTTTTGTGATCCTAATGGATGGCTAAATCAATTGGCAGAAAGTTCAAGCTATCAGTTTTTATGTAGATCACCAATAAAGACTTCCTCCTCTTTGGATCCAAGACCTGGCAAAATTTTTGTTTTGATAGATTTACAAGAGTTTTAATATAGGAATGTGAAAAAATGGTTGACTCTGCCAATGGACACATAACATTCTGAAGAATACTGATAAAGAGTAAATCCTTTCCTTTGTGTTATTAGAGAGGAAAAGTGATTTTTTTTTTTTCCCCTCGAGTGTCTGAAACCTGTATCTTATATGGGATTTTTAAGAACTCGTAGTAGTCATAAAAAAAAACCCAACCAAACAAAAAACCCAAGCATTTTCTGTTTATTCCCCTTACCTTGATCCCACGTTGCCTTGCCTTGCAATAATTTTATTAACTCACTGTTCATTACACAATGTGGTGGCCGAGGAGGGGGTAAGACTTACTCAAACCTGATTACCTTTTGTTAAAAGCTAACTGACGTTTGTATTGTACTCTGTGTAAGAGTAATCATGACTTGAAAATTTCCTCTGGGCTTTGGATTTTACCATCACTTAGGGATTATTTTTATTATTATTACAACAAGTGTTGCTAGTGGCATCATTAAGAGCAGATGATGCTTTTAAACCTGAAGATATGCATTTCTAGAGCTATGTCATGGATTTGCTTCCTGAGATAGTATAGCAAGTGTGTGATTGTTCATGCATACTGAAAATCTTACATTAATTGGGATGATGAATGCATCCTAAAGTCTCTGTGCTTTACAAAATTATTTTTTTCTTTATAAACGGAGAAAAAAAGAACTATTGTCATGAAAGGATAATTCTTTGTAAATAAAAACCCAGGTCTGTTAAATACGTTTATATATTGTAAAACAGGGCTGCGCTGTCTTCTGTTTAGGAAGTTACCACCTGTTTATTACTAAATGTGAGAAGATGATGCTGGTGGTGAGGATTGGCAAATGGACTTCTCTAAAATAATTTCATTTGATCCTTAAGCTAAATTTATTAAGATTCCAGATCACAGTAAGCATATGAGTGTTTTTTAGATCATTTCCATGATGACGTCCTTTTTATTTGTTTCTTTTTATTGTATGTACAGGCACATGAATATATGCTATTTAGGTTTTTATCTACTTAATGAACTCTACAAGGAATCAAAATTAACTTCTCTCTCCAGCAATGTATAGCTTATGTTTAAAGTGGTTGACAAAGAAATACTTTTTTCTTTGTTTTCACTATTTAGGAACATTCCACGCTTCCTTTGGGACGGTTTGTTTATGTGGCACATCACTGGTGATTCTTAATTAGAGGAAAATTGATTCTTATGCTTGGAGTGATATGGGAGTTATAGCTTGTTTTCTAAGTGTTTAGGACATGTGCCTTTCCTTGGGGACATAAAGTCTAGTAAAGCTAAGTGACAGCTACTGGAGCATGCTTTTCACTGTATGTCAGATTTTGTTGATGACTGTGAAATGGTAATGATGCAGTAACAAGGCTGTTTAAAAACAAGAAGAAAAGGTTTATGACAAACTATAGAGCTTCACCCTAATACCATTTTGCTTTTTTATTATTTTCTATTAAACCTTAGTATGCAGTACATTCCTCAGATGGAGTACTCAGTTTCAAGTATATGATGCTTTCAGAATGAAGACTTGGAGCATCTAAAATCATTTTAGCAACTTTACCATTTAACCCCTCAAACAATAAGTAGGACAAAGTTGGAGCAGTTTAGTCTTTCTGATAACACCATACTGTCCTTAGAGCCTGTGTCTCTTTCTTTTATGAACTCTTGTCACAGTTTATCTGCAAATTTTTTCAATTTTATTTTGCAGATAGCTATCTCTGTTTACACTGATACAGAGGTGCATTATCCCTTTATCATAACAAAACAGGAAGAAATTTCAATTAGAAATAAAATAACTAGAGAAAAAAAAGGAAACACAATCAGAATTGTGTTAAGATCTCATTTATATTGCATATGTTGTGAATAATTGAGCAATTTACTCATCTCAGGCTAAGAAAAAAATAAAAGACATTAATGCAATTCAGCATATTACATTAAATGGTGTTTCCCAGACAAAATCACAGTAAATGCTGTATAAATAACTAGAAGAATACTGGGCTATGATGTGAAATAACAGAACTGTTTCAAGAAAATTCCATCGTAAGTAGTAGCTTGCATATTATGTGATTAACGCTTATCTCTGTATGTGATAAATGAAGTCTAAGGAGAAACTTTCTGTCTGCTTTATAGTTGTGACTATCTCCAGCTCTTTGCATTAAAGGGTAATGTATACACATTCTTGAACTATAGCATCCAGGGCTTCCATCAATTAAATACAACCCATCTGTACTGCAAACTGTCACAATGGGCAACAAACATTCATTTTTATTTAATTTCTAAGAAGAATTTGTTATTAATCATTGCTACTTAAGGTAGAGTAAGATATAGCTTGTTCCTTGTTATCATAAGTACCTGAGAACATTCAGGTAATGAAAACTATAGTAAGAGACCAAAGGGTAGTAACGTGAAGTTTGACAGTGCTGAATCCTTCTTTTAAGGGTCAAAAACATTCCTTTGAAATCAAAGTAGACCTGAAATCAGAAAAGTACAAGTTGCAGAATATAGGTTTTATATGATGGAAAAATAAAAGAGGTCAGGAGTTGGGCAGCACCTCTTCCTGTGTGTTTTCCTTAGTAGTTCCATCCAGTAATACACTCATCATTAGAGACAGAAGGTTACAGCTTTATTACTGAAATTCAGTTCTTTTCATACTTATTTCAGAATGGAAGTTAATAGATTATTTCGTTGTTTCATTAAGTAGGATTTTTTTCTCACTGTGGGGTTTGCCTGTCTCTGAGCACTTGATGTAGCAACAGACTTTTAGACAGTTTTCCCCAAGCTCAGTTAATGTGGAGCTTTGTTGCTTCTCAGGCTTCTGCCTGTGACTTTTCTTTGACTGCCTTTGTCACTGGTAGCAATAAAATGATTTTTTTTTTCCACTTGAGTTCACCTACATTGTTTCTGTTGCCCTATCCTAATCCCACCACAAATGTCTGCCAATATGCTCAGTTGGTTGAACCTGTAAATGCTCTTGGGATCAAGAACAAGGGGAACTTCACTAATCTGTCAATTCAACGAACTGGCAGGAAGCTCTTCTGTGTCTGCCACCAACCTTTCTGCAGAAGAAGTACAGAACAGTAAAGGAAAGCAAAATTTATTTAAACTTTAATAGAATCTGGAAGGGACCTCTTCTGTCAGTGATACAATATCTTAACCTAAGGAAGACTCATTAATAAGAGAATGTGGGAAAGTTTGTCTCAACTTCTCCCCTGATGACTGCTCCAGAGTCACGTTGCCTGGGTGGTTAAAATGAACCCTTGTTATTTCCTTTCTGGCTTTATTCAGGGATGGCTGTGTGATCACTTTTCCTGTGCTTCAGCTGCCCTCTTTTTTCTTCTTTTTTTTTTTTTTTTTTTTTTTAAAACCATTTTTAAAAATGAACATCAAAGAATTGCACTTGT